TTACCCCTGGGGCCTGGGCAGGAGAAGAGAGATGAGCAACCAGGATCCATTTTCCCAGCTCTTAACACCTGGCTCCAAGTGATGAAAGTGAGTGTGAGCTCTGGGGAGCTGGGCTGGACCTGAGCAGGGACGGGAGTCTTGGCTTTGGGGTTATTTCTGCAGGAAAAGGCGCAGAGGGGACTGAGGGTTGGGTCTTGCCAGAGCTGCTGAGTACACAGCTCCATTCCAGAGGCAGCCTGGCTGCTCTGCCCGGGCGAGGAACGACTTAATTCCCGTGTCTTACAGGAGGCAGATGGTCAGCAGCAGCAGCTGGGAGAAGAGAAAAAGCCCAAACCACCACCAGCAGCAGCAGCAGCAGCTGCGAGTGCTGCCCCCAGCACGTGGCTGAGCAAAGCCGTGAAGGTGAGCCCTGGCCCCCGCCAGCCGTGGCTCATTAGCCCCCGCCGCCCGGAGCCACCGCGGAGCTCGGCACGGGGAACCCGAAGGAAAAAAACAAGTGGTTTGTGGGGAGGGAGGGGGAGAAAAAAAAAAAAAAAGATGCGGCGGAAAGATGCTGGAAGCGACCACAGGATGGCAGCAGGTCCTGAGGCGACATCCCGCCGGGAGCGGCCCCGGGCAGCGCGGCTGTGCCGGCTGGAGCCGCGGAGCCTTCCGTCGGGAGAGGAGAAGGCTGCTCGGAGCTGGGCTCGAGCGCTGCCTCGGGCCGGCAATCTTGCCTTGGAGCTGCGGGCTCCATCCTGGCTCGTGTCAGAGCTCCAGGGAGGGAAAAGCGAACAGGTTTGGGTGTGGAGACATACTGAGTGCTGAGACACACACACACAGGGTGCTCTTCCGAGGTTTTCCCACAGAAACCAGGAGGGGTTGAGAGCAGGGAGCCCACTGAGTTTTGTGTTGGTACAGGATTTGAGCACTTTGGGGCTCCGGGGGCCATCCCACTGGGCTCTGGTGTCCATCCTGCCCAGCCAGGCTGGCTGTCCTGCCCCAGGGAAGTGCCGCTTCCTTTGCTCATCACTGCTCTCTCCACAGTTCCAGAAATCCCTCTCCACATCCTGCCTCGGGCCCCCCAAGGGCATGCAGGGACTCGGATCCCCCACAGCTGAGAACGACTACGGGCTGGACCTGAACAGCGACGACTCCACGGACGACGAGAACGACCCTCGGAAGCCCGTCCCTGCCTGGGCTGAAGGTAGGTGCTGGCTCCGGGGTGGTTTTTTTTTCCTTTCCCAGCCTCACCTGGAGCCGTCCCAAAGCGCAGTCCAGGAGTGTGTGTGGCTCCAGTGGGGAGGGGACAGCCCCAGTGCCCGAGGGAAAGAGCAACGCCCGGCCCCTGAGGTTAAGCAGGGCACATCCACGTGTCCGATATGCATTTCCCCCCAGGGACACAGCTCCACCAGGCCGTCCTGCACCAGTACTACCACCCTGTGGACGTGGATGCGCTGTTTGGGGCCATCCCCAGCCCCCAGCTGGAGCACATCTTCTACAAGAGCAAGCCCCGCTACTTCAAGCGCACCAGCTCGGCCGTGTGGCACTCGCCGCCCGGCCCCAGCCCCTCCTGCACCTTGCAGAGCTGAGCCAAGACAGGAGAGGGGGTTTTAGGGCATCCACGTGTGTTTTACTTATCCCGTATTTACGGTTTTAACTTACTTTTATTTTTTTGTTGTTGTTGTTGTTGCAAAAATAAAAGTGTTTAGTGAAATCCAGCGCTCTCTGTGTCTCCTTTCTCCTGCCTGGGTAGCTGATTCCAGACCAATAACTGTATGGACTCACAATCATCCCTGGGGGTCCCTTCCAACTCAGAATCTTCTGTGATCCTGACTTAACTGTGGTTTCTGCAAGGCAAGATGCAGAGATATGTTATGCCCCATTTCCTATTCCCTCAGGATCTTCCCTCACACAAGAAAGCTTGGAAATTGCTGTAGGGAAGACTAGATTCTTTCAATCACCCTGAGGGGACAGTGTTTTCACAACCCTATTTCTACATGTTTACTGTATTTATGTATATTTCTATGTATGTATATAGATAAATATCTCTGATAGACATAAATATGTATAGACATATACATATATATAGACATATATATTTACTACCTCTATTTATTATGTGCAAGTCCTCTTCCTTCATGAATTCCTGTGCCTCCTTATTACTTGGAGCCAGAATCCTTTTCCTGCTGTTAGAAAAACTCTCCCTGGACAGTTTAAGCAGCCTCTTCACCCTTCTCTTCTAATAGAAAAAGGAAGCCTAGGCTTCCTTTCTTCTGTGTCCTTTTTTCCCAGGAGACTTCAGTGTATGGCCAGGCTTGGGCAGGAGGTGGGTTTATTTGGGAATGGGGGCTTGGGCAGGAGGTGGGTTTATTTGGGAATGGGGGCTTGGGAAAGGTAAGAGGGTGTGATGGTTCCCGGGGGGCTCCTGCCTGGGACCAACACCTTTGACCTCTCCTCAGCAGCAGATCTACAACCATCCCTCTCCTTCTCTCCTCCTCTCCCAAGCCTGAATGCACAGGGATTGACTGGAGTGGTGATGGACTGCAAGAGATAAGGCCCTGGCTGTAAGGCAGAATTATGGAGTCAGGATCCTTGGAGCCATCCCGGCTCCTGGGGCCTCTGCCAAAAAGGGCTGGAAGCACTTGGAGTGCTCACCCCAAGAGCCAGTGCATGCCCAAGGGGGCTTTTGTCCCAGGAATGCTGTTTGGCTGGGGCTGGGATACCGCAGGGGCTCTGTGGGTGAGGTGGGGAGGGCAGCCAAGGTCCTTCCCACCCTGGAGGTGAACATCCCTGGCTCCCTCAGGGATGCTGCGGCGCCCACGTGGCCGCGTCCACAGGGGGTTTGGCGAGGGGGGACGTGAGCCCTACTGCAGCCGAGCCCCGGCCGGGACAATTTCCCGGTTAATTTGTTGCCAACAGAGCCTGGAACACCGGGGGGAGTGGAAAAAACCTCTGTGCCAACAGCTGCTGGGAGGGAGCTGCTGCCAGCTCCGGCCGGAGCGCTAATGAGGCGTCTGTGCTGCAGCTGGTTCCGGGCACCGTGCGCGGCTCCCGCGGCTCCTGGAGCCCGCTGGGAACCCGGGCCTCGAGCTCCTGCAGCTCCCAGGAGCTCACCAGGAGCCCGAGCCTGGAGCGGTGCCCGTTAATGCCACCCCGGGGAAGGCGGCTGTGCCGTCTGTCTGCCAGCACCGCGCCGGGGAGGATCCATCCCGTGGGATGCGGGGAGCAAAAGGCCCCCAAGCGCCGGGATGGGGGCTGCTGGTGCCAGCTGGGAAAAGGAGCAGCTCCATGAAATCAGCGGGAGATAATTAAGCAGGGATCCCCCAGGCTTGGGCAGGCTGGGTGTGGAAGTGCCTCCTTCCCAGAAACCCCAGAGCCACGGTGTTGCAGTGTTCCCAGAGCAAACCGTGGGCATCCCTGTGATCCCACAGGGCCGTTCTCCAGTGGGAGGGGGCAGGTGGCTGAACCCGCTGCACCCCCCCAACAGAGAAGGGAAAGGGAATGTTTCAGCTCGCATGGAGCAAAACAATCCATGTCAACCTGAGGCATTTTCCGGGGCTGTGAGCACAGCAGGGAGACAGGAGGGTGCTGGTGCTTCCCTTGGATCACAGCCCTCTCCTTGCATCCTGGTGCTCCCTTTGGATCCCAGAGCTCCCTTTGGATCCCAGCTGCCTCGTTTCTCCCCTCTGCCGACACGTCATCTGTTTCTGTTTTCAGCACCCGGGAACCCCTGATTCACCCCATCCCACGGGGACGCTTCCCAGGGCCGGGAGAGTGCGGGAGGGCTGGGGACGGGGTCGGGAGGGGCAGGATGCCACCCTTTTTCCCACTCCTCCCCTGCCGGGTGCCTGGGCCGTGCGGGTGTGGGTGCCCCAGCCTGGGCAGGGGCTCCCTGGGGTGGGGCCATCTCCGCCCGCCGCCGTCTCCCTGGCTCGGCGGCTCCGCATCCCGCTCTCCTGTTGCTCAGAGATGTGGAGGCAGTTGCTAAGAGACACCGACACGTCAGTATCTGGCCCTAAGGAAAAAAAGAGGAAAAAAAAAAAAAAAGAGACAGAGAAAGAGAGAGACAAGGGAGGACGAGGAGGAGGAGGGGAGGAAGGAGGTGGGGAAAGACCTGCTCCCATCGCCAGGCTCGCAGCAGCCTTGGCCGCCGCTGCCGGAGCCCTGCTCACGACTTTGCGGCCTCTGAGGTGTGGGTGACCGCTGGGACCCCCCACATCACTCCCTGGAGCCCCCCACATCACCGTCCAGGACCCTCACATCACCGCAGGGAGCCAGGCCCTGCTCCCCCCTGGCCAGTGAGTACCCCGGGGGACCCCAGCCCTGCCGGAGGGGTTGGGAGGCTGTCGGGATGGGGATGGCTGGGGTAAGGCGGGGTGGTGGGAGAGGATGGAGCTGGGAGGGTGTGGGCGAGGGAGGATGGAGCAGACATGGTCAGGTGGCAGGGGGCCGAGATCAGGCCTGGGGGGACCCTGGGTGGGAGCTGGGCATGGAGGTCTCCCCCCAGGAGGGAGGTGGGGAGGGTGTCCGCTGCACTAGGCTGAGCTGGTGTCGGCGTGGGGTTGACAGGGGGTTGGCAGGAGGCTGTGGAGCAGCACCTCCACTCTGCCCACCACCAGCCAGGACGGGCTGGCCAAGGTCAGGGGGGCTGGAGGGCTCTGTTCTGGCTGAAATCCCCAAGGGGGTATTGGAGGAGCGAGGTGACCGTGGCACGAGGGGCGTGGGGAGGGCCTGGGTGCCCCACAGGCCACTCCAGCTGCACCAGCCACGGCCTCCTCGGCAGGGGCGTGCGGCCGGCACGGCTTCCTCCCGCTCCTCTTCCTCGCAGGCAGCCGGTGACGGCCGTGCCGGTGCCCCCGGCGGGGTTCGCGTGCCCGCCGGATGCCGCCGGGACGGCGGGAGCATCGCCGTGACCGCTGCGAGCCGGGCCCCGCGACCGGCCGCCGGCTGAGCCCCGGGCGTTGAGCGGGCGGGCGGGATGGCCCCCGGCACCCCGTGAGGGTCGGGCCCGCGAGGCCATGCTGCTGGGCCCCTGGCTGGTGGCGGCGGCGGCGGCGGTGGCGGCGGCGGCCGGCGCGGGCTGCCCGGTGCTGTGCAGCTGCCGCGGGCAGGCGGTGGACTGCAGCGGGCAGCGGCTCTTCTCCGTGCCCCCCGAGCTGCCGCTGGACACCGGGAACCTGAGCCTGGCGCACAACCGCATCTCCAGCATCCCGCCGGGCTACCTGGGCTGCTACGGGCAGCTGCGCGCCCTCGACCTGCGCAACAACTCGCTGGCGGCGCTGCCGGCGGGGCTGTTCCGCGGCGCCCGGCGCCTGGCGCACCTGGACCTCAGCTACAACAACTTCAGCCTGGTGCCCGCCGACATGTTCCGCGAGGCCAGCGGGCTCCTGCGCCTCGACCTCAGCCACAACCCGGGGCTGCGCCGCGTCCACCCCCAGGCCTTCCGCGGGCTGGCCCAGCTGCGCGAGCTGGACCTGAGCTACGGCGGGCTGGCGGCCATCAGCCTCGACGCCCTCGAGGGGCTGCCCGGGCTGGTGGGGCTGCGCCTGGGGGGCAACCCCTGGCTCTGCGGCTGCGCCATGGAGCCCCTCCTCAAGTGGCTGCGGGGCCGCATCCAGCGCTGCGCCTCGGGTAGGTGCCGCCAGACCCTCCGACCCCCACCCCCGTCCCGGGGGCCGGCGGCCGGTCTAAAGCCATGCTCCCCCCCCCATCCCGCAGATTCGCAGCAGGCCGAGTGCTGGGCCCCCCCTGAGGTGGCGGGGGCCCCCCTGCTCTCGCTGACGGAGGAGAGTTTCCAGGCCTGCCACCTCACGCTGACGCTGGACGACTATCTCTTCATCGCCTTCGTCGGCTTCGTCGTCTCCATCGCCTCGGTGGCCACCAACTTCCTGCTGGGCATCACGGCCAACTGCTGCCACCGCTGGAGCAAGGCCAGCGAGGACGAGGATGTCTAGGTACCGCTGCCGCCACCGCCGCCGATGGACCCCCGCCCCGGCCACCCCCTGGCCCGGCCGCCCCCGCGGGGACACCGGACTGTGCCTTGTCCTCGTCCCCTCCCGCCGCCCCCTGCGCCAGGGTGGCCCTCGAGACGCCGGGGACACCAGGGGACAGACCCGCTTCCTTTTGCCCCAAAATGGGGAGTTTTTGCCCCTGCCCCCCCCATCACCGTGAGCTTGGACCCCCTCCCGTTCCCACTGCCCAGGACTGACGGAGGCAGCGGCTTGGGGGTCCCGAGGAAGTGACCCCTCACCTCCGCCTGGGAGAGACAGAGACCCCAAAAGCTGTGTGTGCCTGGGGAGACTGAGGAAGTCCCTGCTTGCA